GGCTCAACATATTTGCGTGTAGTGCGTAGTAGCAATGTTTCATTCTAAGAAAGCGTATGAAGCTCCAATGAAGCTCACATATCTCAATATAGTTCAGTCATCCAACGTTCAGACACGGCGTTTCCAGGAAAGAAATGTATAAGTTTTTTTCTTATCGGTTCTTTATGTTCTTTGGGCTGCTGAATCCGAATCTGAGGTTTGCCATCTCACCAAGCGACGGCTTCACAACGAAAATCGCAAAAAACCTCAAAATTTAGCACTTTTTCAATTTTTTGACTATAATTCGAAAACTAGACGTTTTTCGATCATATACAAAATAAAAAAGTTGACAAAAATAAGTTATATTTTTATTTGTATATACAGTGCTTTCGAAAAGTAACGAATAAATTCATTATTTTTTAAATTGAGAAGTTTTCGAAAAAATCCCATGGCACGTCGATTTTGTTTTTAAAAAAGGCACTTTTTAACATACGACCCATATTTGTGACATCATCGTTGTTCGAGATATGACGTCATCGACAATTTTTTTAAATAGCAACCCCCAATTTTGACCATGTCATTTGAAAGAGCGTGTCATTCTACATACACAGATTATGAAAAATTATGGTGTTACATAACAAAAATTTCAAGAAAATAATGTTTGAAGATTTTAAAATTTAATTTTCACAATACTGAAAATGATAATGATCGTGTCTGTTTTAAGACGCAACATAGACACCATATAGGCACATCCATCGGTATTGAGTAGGTAGCTGGTATGTCAGATCTTTGGGTTTGAACTTTCTTGTATCTGACATTCTATTAATTAAAATTGCCAAGAAGAGTACGTTTTATCTATTATTGGCACTAAAATGAGTAGCACTACCGGAGTCTACATCTTCGCTCTCGAGTTTTTTTTTGTATGCCAGTGAAGTATAATAAAGAACATTTTACTGCAGTCAAAGGTAGATTGTATCAAATATAAAGTGGAAGCTAGAGAGTGACGCAACATGTTTGCTAATACATTTTATTAATGTCTATGAAAACGTTTATTATGTTTTTATTATCAAAAAGTATATAAAGCTCACGTTATATCCCATAAATCATTATAAAGTTAATGTTGCAATTTTAGCAGTAATATTATTTTAACTATTTAGTTTTCTGTAGTCTTCAAAATTGAAATATACATACTTATTACAAAATTTAAAATTTTGAGAAAAGCAACAAAATATCCTGATTCCATCTTTTATTCTTAGTTAAGATCAATGAATATACAGAGTGTTTTGAAAAAGGATGCCATAAATTGAAGAATTGATAAAACGTCACAAAATAACACTTCCTATTTTTCACTTTTTTTATGTGACCTCTTTTCGACGTAGATAAGAAATGTCTCGGTATTATTTTAATTTCAGTCTCAATTTAAGAGAAAAACACTATTTTATTACGTAATGAAAATACATGCAGAAATTGCTCATATCAAACTGCAAATTTCTTGGGAAGTCGTTTTGTAAATAATAATTTTACATTTGATGAAAAAAAACATAGTGTATCAGCCAAATGAAATAAATTCAATAATAAATAAATGAGGGCGTGTTCGAAAAGACGCTTGGACACGTCGATTGGTACTTTTAGTTGCGTATTTTCTTTTTAACTTTTTATACAGGGTGTGTCTTGTAACAGTGGTGAATACCAACTTTATTATTTTAATTGCAACACCCTGTATAATATTCAATTTTTGGATTTTTCAGAAACTTCTGGACACATTTCATGTAAAATGGCCTATACCTATCTACAACTGTTTCGGAAATATTAAGTGTTTTCAGATTTATTGCAAAAATTAACATTAAAAAAAGAAAATTATTTGATTACAGAACTTCGCTACAACACACAGTGTGCGCATTTTAAGTGATTTAGACTAGAGTGGAGTACCTTTTTTTTATGTAAAACGAAATTGTAATGTGCCCTAACCCCAAAAAAAAAAAAATTATATGCAAAAACCTCTACAAAATACTCAAAAACTAACCGTATTTAGCATATGCAAAAACCAAGTCCAAGCAAATTTTATTGCATTATATTTATACTGTTTTTTGACAAAGATGTAGTCAAATATTGTTTTTAGATCTTCTTTAATGCCTCTATCTAAAAAAAATAACCATACAACATACAATGAATTTAATTTTTTTTTTTAATATTTTTAATAAAACCTTTTTAATTTTTTATATTTTATTCTGATTCCGATAGATAAAAATTTTATTTTTTTAAGGAACAGTAGGTATGTAGGTACTTCTTTAGTTACTTACTAGAAATTTTCGATATACCTTTAATAAAAATTGTATTTAAAATTTCATTACTAGTATTAAACACATACTATAATCATTTTTTTGTGGGGATAGTAAATTATTTTAGATTAAGTGTTTGACAAAATATTCAAAGGCATTAAATTTCTATAAGAATTCAATCTTNATTTTTGTACTCTTCGAATTTCTAGAGCGACCCCTTGGCGACGCCCTTGCTTCGTCCTATTTTCCGATGTTCTATCAACCTCTGAATTTACGACACCTTGATTAAAAACATCTTGTATTATTTTTTATCTAACTGTTTCTATGTATTCATCTAACCATTATTGTAATTTATTTGTTTTCATGTAAAGGCATTATTATCTTGATTTAGCAGGAATTTTTAATGCTTGATTGAGGCACATTATTAGTTATCTTGTCCACCCTATACAATAAAACCGATTTTATTTGCACGTAACCGATATCGCAACTGATGGCATCAGTCGGTTCCGAGGTATTTGACCCCCCTGCCCATTGCAGGTGCTGTAACGTTGCTGTCGGAAATACTCTGTTGGCTCAAACCGGAAGCAGTCTTCATAACCGACGACCGAAGTGACGAAAGAGAGGGTCCCGTTTCGTGCTTCCATTATGATTTTAAGCGAGTGCGTACTCGAGTGATTTAGAACAATCATTTTAGTTTTGCGCCCAGTGGCCTATATTTCAGGCTGTTTGCTTACTTTAATGTCAAGTTAACGACGCCATTGTTTACAGTTTCCCTCTGTTTCTTGTATTGGAAAAAATAATAAAGGCTCATGCGTGCTTTTTTACGTAAGTAAGACTGTTTTAGAGACAGAAGATTAAAAATAAACTTATAAAACCATTGCCGGTGCTATAATAGCATTTTCAAAAATTATATCTATCCTAATACATAGAAATGTATAAAAAATTGTTCTATATCTACAGGGCGTAAGAAGTTTGACTGCCATTACTTTAGCATGAGATAGAGTAATCATAAATGAACAAAAAGTTGTATATTACAGGGGCGTAAGATTAACAGGTTTCAAAATACAGCGAGTATTAATATTGGGGAGTTTCATCACAACGTGACAACAGTGCTGAACCTGCTGATGCACACCACGAGTACACGCGGCTGACTTATCCTATGGAAAAAATGTAAACAGCTATTATTGTGAAACATTTAGTAAATTTCAAGACAATTGTTTTCCAGTTTTTAAATAAATTAAATAAAATGTATCGATTTTGTAGTACGAAGATAGTTTTGTGCTTAAATTTTAGCTCGAATTTTAGTAATTATGAATCTCTTAAAACAGGAACTAAACTTGTAATCAAATTACGTATTTGAAAAATATGTAATTAAATTATCCAAAGATTCACGTCGTCCAAATAATCATACATATTAAAAATAAGTTAGGTACTTACCAAAAAGCAAAATTCAGTAATTTTTAAACGCACAAATACAAAACGAACTACAACATATGCTCAAAATGTCTACCACCATTTTCGTGCATTCGCTGGAAAACACCTCAAGAAAAGGAAATAGTGGTAAGCAAAAAACACTCCGACACTGTCGAATCCAGACACTAATTGAATTGTGTATTGGTGGTTGCTGGACACCATAGTACTTCGTGTTAATAAATCGCCGTGCTGTTGTCACATTCTAAATTTATTACAACGCTAATTATTTTTTAGAATTAAGCATAAAGATGTTAAAAAAAGTGATAAACATTGTATTTTATGGTATTCTATGCACGCAGTTATGTCAATATTTCTTAATTAATCGAACTTTTGTACATCAAGTTGAAGATTTTGATAATTTTTTTCTCGGAAATACCGGTAGTCGCCGTCTACTTGCTTATTTTAGGCGGAACACCATGTATATGTTTGCATATTTAGATTCTACGCGTAATTTTATGGGGATTTTTATCAAGCTTTCCTATATCCATCTTCAATGGTCTTCGAGATATTTCAATTCTTTCACAAAAAGTTGCTTTTAGCCTAATTTAAAAATGCCTATTTTTTAAATCGTGCAAACTGAAGTATTGATATTTGGGAGGGAGATAGGGGGATGCCTATCATTTATTCCAGTTATTTTAAAAATTGTTTAATTATATACAGGGTGGTGGATGTACACAGATGTACTCAGACTTAGCTAAAGCTTTTGATGAAGTAAATCATGACATCTTAATAGACAATAAAATTGGATAAATACAGTTTTTCGGATAATCATTTAACAATTTAGTACCTCCTGTCTAAGTAATAGTAAACAGTATGTAGTTTACAAAGGAAACTGTTCTGATGACTTCACTTTCATACAGGAGTACCTCAAGGCTCAAATTTGGGTCCACTATTATTTTTGTGCATGATCAACGACCTCTCTGGGAGAACTGGTAATTCAGATTTAATTTAAGAATGTTAGAAAATAGGAGAAATTTTTGCTATTTTTTTTATAGATTAATAATGTTTTAAATTCTGTTTACATGATAAACCCTTTGTATTGTATTAATCCTACATTATAGTAGAGGAGATACTTATACAATGTTTGTTCCAACCCCCATAAAAGTCTATGCGTATTCATATTAGTAGGAGATGGAATATTTTTTTTAAATTTAAGTTTATAAGTTTCATTCATTTGTATTATTGTTATTTTATAATTTCTCTTTTATTTATTGTAGTAGTTACTTGGGCTGTGTTGTAGATTATAAATAAATATGTATTTCTTTTCAGATTCTGGGCATCCTATGTATGTCTTTGGCGTCGCCAGCCTACCACGGAGGTGTACATTTCTTTCTGTTCGTTGCAACGACGAGCTTCATCGGTACCTTGATATGGGTGTTCATATATCTGTTGGGCATCAGAGAGGCCATTAGTTTTCCCATAAACTGGATATTAACAGTAAGATTCAAAATTTTAATAGAAAAGTAATTTAGCAATTTTTAGTATTATTCTTGGAAAAGTGTGCTACAAAGTACAACTTTGAGCCCTTGATTTCTATTGTCGTAGTGAATTTAGCTCAAAATGTTTATTTCTTACACTAATTATACAGAGTGTAGTTTTGAATGGAGATATTATATACATATATGACTTTAATAACACGTATCATAATTTTGTTCTCAAATTATGTCGTGAACCTACGAGATCTGTAAAAAAAATAACCGAACTTTATTTTTTTTTAGACTTTATCATTAATTTTATACATTATTAGTCCTTGTCTCTTTCAAAGTACTCCCCTCCAATATTCCCTTTAATTTTTTCGTCGACTGTGCGGTACAAAAGTATATGGGAACAAAAATTTTTTGATCTTCTAAATTTTCCTTTTTTTAATAAAATTTGGATTTTTGTCATTTTTAGATGAAATTAAATTTTAAAAAATGGTGAACGAGACCATTGTGCGCAGAATACAGAAATGGCTGCGCAACTAAAATACAAATTTGAGGCGTTCTCGCGTTTTTTGAAGGATCTAGATTAAATTCCCTACAGAAAAACCTTAATTTTCCAAGAAAAATGTTAAAATTAAAAAAACCATGATTTTTTTTAAAAAAGGTGTATCACTCATTACTTTTAGCAGTTTTACATTATTTTGGTTTCTGTTTGAAATCTACAGAGTTAATGAAGCAATACGTTACTGGTAGGCGTCAAAAAGTTTGTATAAAGGATAAATCCTCAGATATGTTGCCAGTAGAACACGGTGTTCCACAAGGTTCAATTCTTGGCCCACTTTTATATATATTATATACTAGTGAGTTCCAAAAAGTTCTAAGTACATGTNTTTTTTAGACTTTATTATTAATTTTATACATTATTAGTCCTTGTCTCTTTCAAAGTACTCCCCTCTAATATTCCCTTTAATTTTTTCGTCGACTGTGCGGTACAAAAGTATATGGGAACAAAAATTTTTTGATCTTCTAAATTTTCCTTTTTTTAATAAAATTTGGATTTTTGTCATTTTTAGAAGAAATTAAATTTTAAAAAATGGTGAACGAGACCATTGTGCGCAGAATACAGAAACGGCTGCGCAACTAAAATACAAATTTGAGGCGTTCTCGCGTTTTTTGAAGGATATAGATTAAATTCCCTACAGAAAAACCGTAATTTTCCAAGAAAAATGTTAAAATTAAAAAACCATGATTTTTTTTAAAAAAGGTGTATCATAATGGACATCTTTACCCTAACTTATAAATTTTCCTGATATTCTATTTTTTTTCCAGGAATTGCTAAATACAGGGATATGTGCAGTGTTCTACATCATAGCCTTCATAGTAGAGCTGATAGTGTCCATCGCTCACCTTCACGGATCGTATATTGCAGCTGGGGTAATATTTTTTTTACTGTTAAAACTATTATTTGTCAACGGCATTAATTCATATATATTTTCAGGTGTTTGGCCTGCTCAACGCCGCCGCATACTCATTTGCCACCTACCTCCTCAATGTGGAGCACAAGTCCAGCAGGGCAGCGAACTAATTTATTTCCTCACCGTTACTTTTAAGGAACATTTTGTACTGTATAGTCCAAACCACTAGGGTCTAGCTTTCGAGTCGGACCAGACAACACTGTCAATTATATGTGTAACAAAAAAATTTGAATATACCAAGAATTATTATTAGGTCTTTATATCAAGTACACCTTAGATCTGATTTAATTGGAACAGTACCGCTGTAATAATTTTTGCAACAGGAAGTTGTACAAAGGAATATTTATTTTAATTTTTAAGTGTATTCGATTGTCATGCATTTAACTGTAATTTTTGCTTTTTCTATGAGGAATTTTTGTTGATATCAATTAGATGGTTCGGACAATATTAGGAAATCTCTAGAAATAAAAAACGTAATAAATAATTTTTAAGTCGGGTGTTCCTAAGATATTATTAATAAGAGATAGTGGTAAATAATTTCAAAATGATGTTCAGCCTGTTGTTTTAAATTCACTTTAATACATGTCATAGTTAAGTTTAATGAAAAAAGAACATAAAAATTTTGAAACTACTGTTAATCCAAAAAAAGTTATATTATAGAATTTCTGTTAAATAATTTCAGTAAAATGATAAAAATTTTACAGTTTTGTAAACTTATCCCATCTAATAACCTCCGAACTGTCAATTTTTTCTTGTAAAAATGTGTGCGTTTTTTATAGCATGTTTTGTAACTTTATATCAGAAACTGTATACTCTGCCACTGTATATATAATTTTTTTGTTATTACGAGACCAAAGGCGTCTCGCACTGATCCAATAACTTGTCTGTTATTGAAAGTACACCTAGAGCTTCGTTTTTGAGTAATGTTTTAATATTTATACTTAATACACCATTTCTAAATAATAAGTTTAAGTTTTCAAATTTTATCACAGATAGTAATAACAACGTACCTAATATTTCTGTATATTTTATTTAAAATAAATAATTGTTTTATACGTTATTTGATTTATTTAATTTTTCTATGCAGGTATGAAATGGTACTGGAACAGGATAATAAATAGTATTCCTTTCATATTGAAAGAACTATGAAATATAGTTCAGAAATATTTTTCATCTTCAGGCGTTTACAGTACCTCCTAGATTAAAAAACTAGAAGAGAATCTTAATAAATCCAAAAATTTAAATCTGTAAATGTATTTTAAAATGCTGATTAAATTTTGAGACAATGGGAATTTAGTGACACTTCAGTGCAAAATTGTAGGCAATAAAGTACCATAAACAAATTAAACTATAATTTTTACCTTTTCTTAATATGATAACATTTATTTTTTTATGCTAAATTACCAAATAGTATGTTTGCATTCAAGAATGAAAGTTTCGAAACTGTAAAAGAATTTCGTAATCTAATACTACAAAATTATTTGAAAACTGTATCCTACTCCTGGACTTAAAAAATTACTGAAAATGTGAACAACTAGCTGCATATATTTTAATATCAAATGTTTATTGGCGCGTCAGTATTCGCTCCCAAATCTGGTGCTTCTGTGGCTTCTTCAATGTAAAACATCCTGGATGTAAAAGACTTACGTTCTATAGGCAAAAAAGTGTTGATTTGACTCCTAATAAATATTACGTAAAAATCAATTGGTGAAAGTTTTCGAAAAAAATATTTTATTTATTCTCTGCGTGAAAATTGGAATGTAATTGTCAGTGTGTAGACCAGTGTGAATCTGTTTTGAGGTGAATGTGAGAGGGGGCAAGCAAATTTTTTTCTGGATTACCTTCAGTACAACTCGCGTAATAAAAGTGTAGATCCCTAGACCTGTGCGAGGTCCGGAACATTTTCAAAATTGCAAAAATGTTTAAAAAATTTAAAAAATATCTATTTTTATCCGAGTTTTTTACTTATATCTTGTAACCTATGCATTTTGGAAGAATATTGAAGAGGGAAAAAAGTTTTAGAATTGAAATTTGCACAATTTACTGTTAGTTAAAAATGTTTAAATTTATTACCGATGTTGCAAAATAGCAATAATTAATGAAAAAAGTCAAAATAATCAAGTTTTTTGGATAATTTTTTTAAATATATTAATTACTCCGAGGGCATTCTAATTTTGGTAAAAAAAACTTTAAAGTATGATAAAACAACACACCAAATTTCATTAAAATCGGTTCTATAGTTTTCACAAAATAATTATTTAAAAAAAAATTTGAAAAAAATTTTTGAATTTTCAAAATGTTGCTCAGCCTCAAATAAAGCAAACAGATACTTGAAAATTTTTTCACATAGAAAATACCACTCAACCTATCAAATGGTTTTTGAAAAATTGAAATCGGTTGATTAGGACGGTCACAGTAAATTTTTTTAACACTTTTAACACTTTTATTTTTTTTTATTTTTAAACAATTGGATTACATTTATTAATTTGCAATTAAGTTTTTTTCAAGAACTATAATTTTAAAGAACTATTTTTCTTAATTTTATCTGTATTTAACAAAAAAATTAATTCCCAAATAACAAAAAAATTGTTTTAATTTGTTTAAACAAAATTTATTTAAATTGTTATAATTATAACTAAATACATTCATATTCAGTGTTGAAATATACGTAAACAAATTTTTTCATTGAAAAAATGCAATAGCATAGGGTAAAATATACAGTATATTTAATGTATATATAACTTTGTTTATAACAAAATATGTGCAGTTGGCATTATATGAAAAAAAAGATCGAAATTGGTCCAGTAGAAGCCGAGATAATGCAATTTTTTTCGTACTTTCGCATTTTGAGCCTCTGAATTCAGTCTCGGAGCGAAAGCTCTCTCCCCCACTTTTCGTGTTTTGAATCACTTCGCGCGTGCGAGCAACAGCTTTTCCGCTGATTTATCTATGTTGCCGACAACTTATGAATATGAAAATTTTTTCCAGTTTAGAACTCGGAAAAACGAAGCCACTGGATCAAAGATTATTGCTAAATTGTTTATAAATTAACGGTAAATGCCGATAAATTTTGACGCTTACCTCGAGAACCAATAAACGAAATTTAACTTTTTTTTTTTAAAGAAGCGTCTTTCCAAATACTTTAAAATTATAATTTAAAAAAAAATTAACTTGCAAATTGATAAATGTAATGTAATTTTTTAAAAATAAAGAGTGTTAACTTTAAAAATTTACTATGACCGTCCTAATCAACCGATATCAATTTTTCAACAATTTAGTTGTTCTGATGTGTCGCTAAAAATTGTATTATGTACGCACAGCTGTTAGTCGTCCATCTGATAATTAGGGTAGTCGTAAATGACCGAATTTAACACCACGAAATGCAGATATGTACAGTGCAACAAAAATGTCCGTCAAATATAAAAGAAACTTCATCAAATAGATTTTTCATTGGGACCACATGTAGATTACCTGGTACCCAAATAAAAAAAAAATAAAGTAGTGAAAGGTATTAGGCCATCTTTGTCTTATGGGTGCAGAATTGCAGAGTACATACTTTAGTATAAATAAAAATTGTACTGTCCTGTAGGATACCTGGCACGCTTTATCTACTTGCACGGACCTACGTGTCCAGAACATCCAGAATGAGTGATACATGGAATGAGTTAGTTCTGGGACTCTGGTAGAGTAATATTATTTTGCAAACATTTTTCCACGACACCGTAAGTCTTATACAACCAGACATACACTTTAGCCTCTTTAACAGTGGCGTAACACAACAGAAACCTATAAATAGTCGAGCTTATAGAACATTGGATATTGGCTGCTTTGAGAAGTCAGACATTTTCATGAAGGAGGAATTTTCTCTGACGCAAACTATGACGTCCTTGGTTAATACGCAAGTAACTGCTATGGTAGTGCCCTTCGGCATATATTCTACTTATCCTACTTATTCCAACAAGCAATCCTTATCGACCTATTGTAAGTTTGTTTCTGGATCCCTGGGATGTGCTCAAACCTTATCTAAAGTGTTGTGTCATAGAAAATTAATCAAGAATTATTACGCGAAACTTAGACCGACCCTGTATCGCTCCACTTAATCAATTGTGTGCGTGTAATAACTAGGTCAAGTTGAGTGTGATTCAAAGATTGTGGGTCATCAGTAGAGTGAACCTAATGTATGAAGCTCATTGACAAGAAAGACCGTAACGTATCTTAAATAGAGATTAATACATTTTATGTCTTATCGTGGAAAATCTGAGCCGTAGTACCCGTGAAATGGGTGTTTCAAATACTACTATGTGGGGTGTGTTACAGGAACAGTTACTGCACCCTTATCCTGTACAGTGTGTGCAGGCTTCGACTGCAAATGCCGCGTATTTAAAGTTTCTAACAATAATCTTCTTGATTTATTATATGTTATTCCGTTACATACGCATGCAAGCATGGTTTTTATTTAGGACGGTGCTTCTTGGCATGTTTAACTGTTTTTTGTACACTCGTTTTCACTTAGATTTAATTTAGATTTTAGATTTTTAATTTATTTAATTAGATAGATAGGACGCAATGGACCAGTGCATTAGCTAGCGCGAAGACCCGATATGAATCCTCTAAATTTTTGGAGACATAATGTGTACCGAACATCCGTTGTTGGCACCGCCGATATTTAACAGCGAATTTTTGTTAGAGCTAATGACATTAGACTTTAAACTTTAGAAATTAGAATTAGTATGCGAGATAATTCACCGCCACATAACTCTATACAACTAGACCGGTTTTAAAATTATCTGTTTCTGCAATTTGATAATTTTTTTACCTTAAAAATATGACATTTTAGACCACAGCATTAATAAATATTGCCTTTCAGGTTCTCTATTATTCTTCTGAAGTTAGGACTTTCACCATCATCACTTTGGATTACCTCTAATATGGGCAACTGGCATTTTTATCAAGTTCCCCATGTCTGTGGTGCTGGGATTTCAGATGTCTCCCTCATTATGTCAACCTCAACACGCTTGGGGATGTGGATGTCGCACTGGCCGATTATCATCAATGAGACGTGAGGTAGGTTACTGGAAATGTGGTCAACAATATAATTCATTTAGTCTTTTTCCATTAATAAGGATAACACTGTTATGGAGGCTTTCAAAGTGTTTTGAAGTCATTTCGAGTATAAGTACTTGTACTTGTGTCTACATCACACTATCTTTTTAGTCTTTGCCTTGC